GTTCGCATATGTTGGATTTGTCGGAAGAGCCTTTGGAAGAGAATCTGTCCATTTGTGTCGATTATTTCAAAAAAATGGCAGCCTTGGACATGACCCTAGAAATTGAATTGGGGGTAACAGGAGGCGAAGAAGACGGTGTGGATAATACCGATGTGGACAATTCAAAACTGTACACCCAACCCGAAGAAGTATGGCAAGCCTATCAGGCCTTATCGTTGGTTTCTTCTCGATTTACAATCGCCGCTGCTTTTGGAAATGTGCACGGGGTTTACAAACCAGGTAACGTTATGTTAACACCAAAAATACTGGATAACTCACAAAAATTCATTGCCGATAAATTATCCAGTTCAGTATCCAAACCCATAGATTTTGTGTTTCATGGAGGTTCTGGGTCGTCTTTGGAAGAAATTAGAGAGGCCATTGGTTATGGAGTGGTTAAAATGAATTTGGACACCGATTTACAATTTGCTTATTTATCGGGAGTTAGAGATTATGTAACCCATAATTTACCCTATTTAAAAACTCAAATTGGCAATCCCGATGGCGATGATAAACCCAATAAGAAAAAATACGATCCTAGGGTTTGGGTGCGAGATGGTGAAAAATACTTTAAAGACCGTTTAAAACAGTCGTTTGAAGATCTTAATAACATAAATACATTGTAATGGGTTGGTTTAAAAGAACACAAAAGAATATTGTTACCCCCACTGAGGAAAAAAAAGACTCTCCAAAAGGGCTTTGGTATAAATCTCCCACTGGTGAGATTGTTGATGCCGATGATTTGGCTCAAAATAATTATGTGAGTCCAAAAGACGATTATCATGTGCGGGTGGGGAGTAAAATTTACTTCGAATTATTATTTGATGATCAAAAATACACCGAACTCAATGCCGAAGTAGGCAGTTTGGATCCATTAAAATTTACCGATTCAGAACCTTATCCTGTAAAATTGACTAAAACCCAAAAGAAAACAGGACTCAAAGACTCCATTCGCAATGCACATGGACCTATAAATGGGATTGAAGTGGTTGTTTCGGCCATGGATTTTGATTTTATAGGCGGTTCCATGGGTTCGGTGATGGGCGAAAAAATTAGCCGAGCTGTGGATTATTGTCTGGAACACAAATTGCCTTACGTCATCATATGCAAATCGGGAGGAGCCCGCATGATGGAAGCCGCCATTTCTTTGATGCAATTGGCTAAGATTCAATCCAAATTGAGCCGTCTGGCCCAACATAAATTGCCCTATATTCCGGTGCTTACCGATCCCACATTTGGAGGCGTAACCGCATCGTTTGCCATGGTTGGTGATGTAATCATGGCCGAACCAGGGGCTCTAATAGGCTTTGCTGGTCCAAGGGTAATTAAAGAAACCATTGGAAGAGATTTGCCCGAAGGGTTTCAAACATCTGAGTTTTTATTAGAACATGGCTTTGTGGATGTTATCGTCCACCGAAATGAACTTAAAAACACCTTATCTCGGACCATTAAAATGCTTATGGCCCAATTGTAGGGGGATCGGATTTCTCACAAAAACCATTAATCTCACTGGCCGTATTTTCTATGAACGCATTGTTTAACAAAGAAATTCGTCAATTATTGGCATCTCCTTTGGTATATTTGGCTTGGGGGCTTATGGCGGTGTTGACCACCCTTTGGAACTGGTTTTTTGAAGGCGAATATCATTTTTTGGATACTGGCGTGGCCAGTATGATGCCGTATTTTATGATTGCCCCTTGGGTTTGGTTATTGGTATTCCCAGCCATTAGCATGCGCAGTATTGCCGAAGAACATCAAAATGGCACTTTGGTTTGGTTGTTTTCCAAACCCGTTAAAACCCATCAAATTATTGGAGCTAAATACGCCGCGCTTACATTATTTTTGTTAGGGTGCATCATTTTGTCATTCACATCATTGATTAGCTTATATGCATTGAGTGATCCTATGGGCAATATGGACATGGGCGTGGTTTTTATCACCTATGTGGGATTGTTTTTATTGGGCATGGCCATTAATGCCTTAGGTTTAATGGCCTCTGCTTGGGCTCAAACCCAAACCGTCGCCTTTTTAGGCGCATTGTTTTTGGGTTTCTTTTTTTATTATGG